TTATAATGCTAAGATTTTAAACAATGTAAAATATTTTTTGAAAATCTAATTTTAATATGTACCCAGATGATTTAGCTGTAAAAACACTGTAAGTGCCTTCTTTTATTATATTTATTTGTCCATATAGGCTTTTGTTTGCACCCATTACCAAAGTCTATAAATTATTTCCATTGCAAGATACTGTAATAAAAATGAATACAAACATTTGCAGCAAAAAAGTATTTCTGAGGCCTATTGTATCTGGTAAATATTCTTAGATTTCAACATTCAGAACAGTTGACTTTCAAAATGCAAAATCCTCTACCTGTTTTAGTCTAGATTCCGCACACCTCCTGGGGCATGCTGGGGCTCTTGTCCTGGTGGATTGCTGAGATACCAGGCTGTTTGGTTCAGTGAAGGTACCTTCCAGCTTCACTGGTCCATATCATTTGAAGGATATGTAGTGGTGTTCTGACCACTGAATGCTTACAAGTGTCATGGATGCTGTAAGAATCTGATACTCCTGCTGCTAGAAGCCGTCTTTAAGCAGGAAAGTACACAAAGTAACAGACTTAAATTGGCTCGTAAATGGCAGTTATTTAATTGGCTGAGGGAGACTATAAAATCATATTTTTTGTTTATAATAGGCCTGGATATTATGGATAATATTTCAGACATCTGTTTATAACTTTAAAAGGTGAATAATATGCTGTCACCTTCTCATCTTTAGCATACGTTTAGACACAGTGTTGTAACTAGCTTCAGTTTTGTTTTGAGCATCACAACCTTCCATAAAGTGTTAAAACATTAACAGTACCAAACAGACTAGGATACAGAATATATTTTGTGTATTTTCACATTTGGGATTGGATTGCTAATGCTCATTCAAGATCCATTGTTGTGTCTTGATGATCTTAAGGTCGCATCATTGTTCCATTAGATTGTACTAATCTGCACATGCTTTTAAAAATCCAGATCACTCTCTCCTAGCTATACTGGCTCTGAAGTTCTGATAAGAGTAAAAACTTATCTATTTCCTTTACTGACTAAAGTACACTCATAATGTATACAAAGCACTGGTGTATTGAGTAAGAAATACTGTTTTACATTTTGAAATGAAAGAAACAAACAATAATAAACATATACCTATCTGGACAAGCTTTTGCAGTATGATATATGTAGTTTTCCTAAAATTATGATCTCTGATTAAAATAACATTTTACTGAATGTTAAACCTAAGAGAAAAGATATTACAACATTTTCTGGAATTATAAATTTGAAAAATAATATCTAAAAAGTACTGAATAGTAAAATAAATGAATAAAAATGTGTAGGATTTTGAAAGATCACTATTGGTTTCCTGGGAGCAATATTAACCTTAATAGATTAGAACTTCAAAAAAAAAAATTGATGAAAGGTTATTCAAAAAGGATTCATGAGTCTTTTAGAAAGGTAAGTTTCTCTTTGTTTACATTAAAGTTTTTAATCACTGAAAAGTAAATAGTATACTTCTGGTCTACACTAGGGGATAAATTCGAATTAAGATACGCAGCTTAACCTAACAATTAATGTAGCTAAAGTCAAAGTATCTTAACTCATATTTTGGTGCTGTGCACACTGCGAAGGGAGCGCCTCATAGGAGCAGGACGACCGGTGTTGACAGGAAGCACCCTCTCAGTTCAAATTGGCATGTCTTCACTAGGCCTAGTAATTTGAACCCTGGAAGAGCGACTGTGTGTGTGTGGTTCAGTCTTCTCTGTAGTGTAGACAGGGCTATAGTGACAGAAATATCTGCTTGGTAAGTGTAGAAGAAATTGGGAAGATCACACACACTAAAACTTCGCTTGATAACTTTCTTCCTTATTTAAAACACCTTTGTCTATATTGCACTATTTGAAAATTGTAGCATACAAGTACTTTGGGATTTCACCTAGTCACATTTCTTAAATTCTCACCAAATAGAGTAAATATCAGAAAGCATAACATATGGTTGTTCTACTCCAAAAAGTAACTATATAAAAACGGTATAATCTAATTGACCTGTGCCGTGTATGTATTCTGAGTCATATCTATTTACTGCCTAAAATAAGTTTTCATTCTTGTCAGCCTTGTAGAGCCAATATAGCTATGGGAGAGGGAGCTGGATTTTATTCTTGCTCATGGAGAATGAACAGAATTATTTACTGAATTCCAAATGCAAAATCTCCGTGTTGCTAATGCATGAGCTAGAAAGAGTCTAGTTTGACTTCCATGTTGGATTTTCAGGAGTCTCGATAAAACAAAACAGATTTCCATGTGCCTATTTGTACTATCAATATATTTTTTAGTTAGTCTCACTGCACCATAGTTTGAAATAAGATACGTAATTTGAGCTATGCAAATTGCAGATCTTATTTTGATCTTATTTCAAAATAGCTTAAATTTCAAAATAACCCACCATTCTGAAATGCCCCTTACTCCTCATGGAACAAGGTTTACAGGGATGTCAGAATAGCGAGCTCAAAATAATGGGCTTAATGTTAAGATGGGGATAGCTATTTTGGGATACTCTGGTATCCTGAAATAGCATCGCAGTATAGACATAGCCAAAGAGCATGTCTACACTGGGGAGTTATTTCAAAATAACTCCTGCTTGTGAAGAAGCTTATTTTGAAATAGTCATTTCAGGAGTTATTATTTTGAAATAACTTATTTCAGAATAATCTGGTAGTGTACACATAACCAAAAGTGCTAAAGGACCATTGTTGTTTTTTAAAATTTCCACTTATATACCAAGTAGATTGTTTCTGGGAGCCACAGAGACAAACATGAAATCCCATAGGGGCTTTTTTGCACTTACCTTTCGGATGCAAATAAACTGTCATTTTAAAAGAAAGTTGAAGAGAAATATTCCCATTAAACTCTGGGGCTGTGTCTACATTGGCCCCTATTCCGTAATAGGGATGCTAATGTAGCACTTTGGAATAGGCAAATCCGTGGGGTATTTAAATATCCCCCGCGGTATTTGCATTTTCATGGCTGCCGCTTTTTTCCGGCTTGTAGATAATCCGGAGAAAAGCACCAGTCTGGACGCGATCCTCCGGAAAATAAGCTCTTTTCCAGAGGATCTCTTATTCCTACTTTCAATTTAAATCCCCCGCAGATTTGCCTATTCCAAAGTGCTACATTAGCATCCCTATTACGGAATAGGGGCCAATGTAGACGTAGCCTGGTAGAGGCTTGATCCTGGAAAGTGCTAAACAATCAGGCTCTGATTCAGCAGCGCATTTAAGTGCATGTTTCACTTTATTCTGATATCCCTTTTACTGATTTTGCATTAGGCACTTCTTTGGCTTCAGTGGACTTGCTCCTGTTACAGGCCCTGGTTCAGTAGGCCCCAGTAGGATTGCTCACATGCTTAAAGTTAGTTGCATAGGAGAATTTCTGTGTCTACTGAAGTCAATGGAAGTTTCACCATTGGTTTTTTTTTTTGCTGAATTAGGGCCTCACTCTGACATAAGTGAGAGCAGAATTGGGCAACTCCAGTGGGA